TCTTCCGTGCTCAGACCGAAGAGGAAGTCTGACACTGTAGCCACACCCTAATCCTGATACTAACTCATAAACAATCTAAGGTCTGCTTGATGTAGAAGGGAGCAGGTCTAACGACCCTGCTGAGGCTAACGACCCTAACTCATTAGCATGTCACTGACCTTGTCCCAAGTTAGGGCGTTGTTTTTAGGATGTCGTCATAGATGCGAGGCAAAACAAATCTTAACCCTCCTCCTCTGTTAAGAGAAGGTTTCTGTTTCCTCACAAAAATGGCTTCTTTCACTCCTCTCTCAAACCAATTCTTCTCCAGAGCCAGAATTTTACCCTCTGTGTCATCCACCGTGTGGTTGGAGGCCTTGAGGTGGAGATGAACAGCCGACAGTGGCCCACTAGAGTTTTCTCTACGATGTTGGTAAAGTCGTTTCTGTAGAGTTTGTTTGGTTTCTCCAATATAGTGGTCAGTGCACTCCTCTTCACCATTACCACTTTAAATATTTGTTCAATGTAGGAGGACGACACAAGTATACGGCTGCTTTTGTTTGGCCCTCTCGATCATGGTTGAAATTGAAAAAAAAATTCCAATTACTTATTTGGTCAAATTAGTTTATTCAGAATGTTGCTCAAGTATTTTGCTTTAGGACTTGCTTCATATTCAGTTTTAAAATTAATGCTCAAATGTAGAATTTTTAAGAAGTTCATATTTTTCGCTGCAATGCATTCTGGGTAGCGTCACTGCTTCGCCACATTTTGTTTTCAATCAACTCAATATATTTTTGTTTTGAATCAACACAATATATTTGTTTTGTCATTAATGGACCCCCAGGCTTACAAGAGGATTTTCATGTTGAGCAAACTCAATACTTCTCCGTTGTCCAGTTATGCCAGAATATCAAGTTCAAAATTTGTTACAAAAATGAGTTAGGATTCTTGTATTAACTTTTAATTGAGACCGACATGTTTAAACTTAGTTGCGACCACACTAATTTAAGTAAAACTGGCAAAAATCAATTATTGAGTTTAGTTCAGTATGTAATTTGAGTTCAAAATACTAACCACCTGAATCATTTCTTTGAGTGTATACAGGTAAATGTGTCCGTGCGCATGCGCAGGTCCGGTGTTTTTCGTTCTGGGAAGTTATGGACAAAATGAGGAGCTCCGGTCTGAACTGGACTGTGGTGGTTCTGACGAGTCAACACAAAGACAGCGTGTACTCATTTCAGCGAGGTGTGTGTGTGTGTGTGTGTGTGTGTTGTGTGTGCGTGTGTGTGCGAGGAACGGCGGGGATGAGTGACTCTGGGTTTTTATCGTCTTTTAATGGATCTTTTGTATATATTTTATTACATTTTTATCCCTTTTTACCCCATCTGCCTTTTTATTGATCACACCCCCTCAACAGACTTTTAACCTGTGACAAATACATTTACGTTCATTTATTATTTCACAAAAATAAAATAGGGGAAAAAAGAGATAGGGAAAACAGTGTAAAACTTGGGTCTCTGGAACGTGCACGTATGCACGCGCGTGTGGGCTGGGTCTTGCAGAGCTTCTCCATCAGGTGCACCGCGCGTCACCGATTGAGCCGCGCCAATCCTCTGAGGGGGGTCAATCCTCAAAAGGAAGCCGGAGCACTGCCTCCTTAAGCTATTGTTGTGTGTCTGTGTGTATCATGTAGAGTTGCAGTTGAAACAGCAGTGTGTCTCTCTCTCCTGAGTCTCTGGTTCTGACGGTGTGTGTGTCCCTCTCTCTATGTGCGTCTGCCTGTGTGTGTGTGTGTGTGTGTGTGTAGAGTTGGAGCAGAGACAGCAGTGTGGATTCTTGCCTTCTGAGTCCGGGTCCCTGCTCCTTACGGTCCGTTTGTAGAAGTCATTTCTAAACACTAAAGATTCTTTATTCCTTAAATAATGAATTATAACTTGTTTGCACCTTAGGTAGAGTTTGTGACTTCCTGTTACTTACAATAAAATATAATCTCATTCAGAGATTCTGCTCCTAATGTCTGAGACGTGTGTTCTCTGAACTCTGACGTCAAGCGTCTCTTTTTTGATGGAGGTGGACTTGGAACTCCGTTAAATCCATGATACAGTTCACGTATAGTTTTGTTTGACCGCATCATCAGTCTCCGTAGAGACCGTCAAAAATTGCCATTGCCGACTATATTTCAAGTCGTCAAGGCGGGGTATTGGGTAAAGTTTTCAACTAGCAATAATCGCGCCTCGGATAAACCTCATAGGCTACGATACTGCCACTGCGCAAAGCTGACGATCATAGGTACAGAGGAGGGACTGCAGCTGGGGCCTGGGGCCCTCATGTGTGGTGTGGGTCTGAGGGACAGAGATGAGATCCTTTATTCATCCCACAGTGGGGAAAATTCAGTGTTGCATCACCAGTTACATGACAGTAGGAATGAACAATAACTCTATAATAAGAATAAGAATAACAACAACAATAATATTAATAATGATAATAATAATAATACAACAAATATATGTTTGTTTATATATTTTACATCAAATTTATTGTTTTATTATTTTTTTTAAATCTGAAACTATCCATAGAAATGTACTTGTTCAGAAACATACAAAATAAACAGATGCTATTATCTTAACGACTGAGGATGGAAGCAGTATTAGTTTAATATTAGAAAAATAATCTGTTTAATCTACGAAATTCTTCAATCAATAAATAATCCCTGGTTTCAGTTTCGTTGTAAATGAACAAATAAATATACTTTTAGTTTAATATTAGAAAAATAATCTGTTTAATCTACGAAATTCTTCAATCAATAAATAATCCCTGGTTTCAGTTTCGTTGTAAATGAACAAATAAATATACTAAAAGTAAAAGAAAATATTATTTAAAATATAAATACCAATAAACAAACGTTATTATTGAAAACTAGTGTATTTTAAAAACATGAATAGGATGTTGTCGTTAGGCCACGTGACCAGCAGGGGGCAGCATCTTCCGTGCTCAGACCGAAGAGGAAGTCTGACACTGTAGCCACACCCTAATCCTGATACTAACTCATAAACAATCTAAGGTCTGCTTGATGTAGAAGGGAGCAGGTCTAACGACCCTGCTGAGGCTAACGACCCTAACTCATTAGCATGTCACTGACCTTGTCCCAAGTTAGGGCGTTGTTTTTAGGATGTCGTCATAGATGCGAGGCAAAACAAATCTTAACCCTCCTCCTCTGTTAAGAGAAGGTTTCTGTTTCCTCACAAAAATGGCTTCTTTCACTCCTCTCTCAAACCAATTCTTCTCCAGAGCCAGAATTTTACCCTCTGTGTCATCCACCGTGTGGTTGGAGGCCTTGAGGTGGAGATGAACAGCCGACAGTGGCCCACTACACTCAAAAAAATGATTTTTGGGTGTAGTAATATATACTAACTCAAAAGTAGTAGTTTCTACCTATAATATCAACTTTCAGCAAAAACTAGTTAAAAACATAAATATTTACACAGTATATTCAGGTAATTAATTAATTGAGTGGAAAGAGTACATCTTACTAGAGATTTGCTCGTACCATTTACATGATTTATTGTCATAGCACCAAAACCTGAAAAAATCAAGTAACTTTTAACTATTGGGTGAAGTAGTGACGCTACCCAGAATGCAATGCAGAGAAAAACATAAACTTCTGAAAAAATCTACATTTGAGCATTAATTTTGAGGGTGAATACAAAGCAAGTCTTAAAACAAAATACGTGAGCAACATTTTGAACAAACAAATTTGACCAAATGAAAAAATTTAAATATATTTTTACCAACCATGATCGACATGGCCAAGTCAAAGTATGGCTTTACTTCCTGGGTTTGTCACTAAATCAAATGTGTAATGTATGTGTGCCACAGAGTCTGTACACTGTACCACTTGTCACTGAGCTCCATTTGAATAATAAATATTATGACATCCTAATGATACAATTGATGTGGAACAACCCAAAAAGCATGTAGATAATAATAATAATTTAAACAGAAAAATTAAGTAATATCTACTTATTCACTTCATAACAGAAAATGCAATAAACAAGTAAGATTTACCTAATAAATTAATATCTGATATTCCTGTATGAAAATAATTGCATAAAATTTACATAATATTCTCACAAACTTTAAGGTTAGTAGTAAGTACATTGTACTTGATACTGGCAAGTAAGTTATACTTGATATTACAGCATTAAAATTACTTAGAAATTTTGAGTGCAAATACTTACAATGATTTTATTAAGTAAATTCTACAAGTCATTTCTTTGAGTGTAGAGTTTTCTCTACGATGTTGGTAAAGTCGTTTCTGTAGAGTTTGTTTGGTTTCTCCAATATAGTGGTCAGTGCACTCCTCTTCACCATTACCACTTTAAATATTTGTTCAATGTAGGAGGACGACACAAGTATACGGCTGCTTTTGTTTGGCCCTCTCGATCATGGTTGAAATTGAAAAAAAAATTCCAATTACTTATTTGGTCAAATTAGTTTATTCAGAATGTTGCTCAAGTATTTTGCTTTAGGACTTGCTTCATATTCAGTTTTAAAATTAATGCTCAAATGTAGAATTTTTAAGAAGTTCATATTTTTCGCTGCAATGCATTCTGGGTAGCGTCACTGCTTCGCCACATTTTGTTTTCAATCAACTCAATATATTTGTTTTGAATCAACACAATATATTTGTTTTGTCATTAATGGACCCCCAGGCTTACAAGAGGATTTTCATGTTGAGCAAACTCAATACTTCTCCGTTGTCCAGTTATGCCAGAATATCAAGTTCAAATTTGTTCCAAAAATGAGTTAGGATTCTTGTATTAACTTTTAATTGAGACCGACATGTTTAAACTTAGTTGCGACCACACTAATTTAAGTAAAACTGGCAAAAATCAATTATTGAGTTTAGTTCAGTATGTAATTTGAGTTCAAAATACTAACCACCTGAATCATTTCTTTGAGTGTATACAGGTAAATGTGTCCGTGCGCATGCGCAGGTCCGGTGTTTTTCGTTCTGGGAAGTTATGGACAAAATGAGGAGCTCCGGTCTGAACTGGACTGTGGTGGTTCTGACGAGTCAACACAAAGACAGCGTGTACTCATTTCAGCGAGGTGTGTGTGCGTGTGTGTGTGTGTGTGTGTGTGTGTGTGTGTGTGTGTGTGTGTGTGTGTGTGTGTGTAGAGTTGGAGCAGAGACAGCAGTGTGGATTCTTGCCTCCTGAGTCCGGGTCCCTGCTCCTTACGGTCCGTTTGTAGAAGTCATTTCTAAACACTAAAGATTCTTTATTCCTTAAATAATGAATTATAACTTGTTTGCACCTTAGGTAGAGTTTGTGACTTCCTGTTACTTACAATAAAATATAATCTCATTCAGAGATTCTGCTCCTAATGTCTGAGACGTGTGTTCTCTGAACTCTGACGTCAAGCGTCTCTTTTTTGATGGAGGTGGACTTGGAACTCCGTTAAATCCATGATACAGTTCACGTATAGTTTTGTTTGACCGCATCATCAGTCTCCGTAGAGACCGTCAAAAATTGCCATTGCCGACTATATTTCAAGTCGTCAAGGCGGGGTATTGGGTAAAGTTTTCAACTAGCAATAATCGCGCCTCGGATAAACCTCATAGGCTACGATACTGCCACTGCGCAAAGCTGACGATCATAGGTACAGAGGAGGGACTGGAGCTGGGGCCTGGGGCCCTCATGTGTGGTGTGGGTCTGAGGGACAGAGATGAGATCCTTTATTCATCCCACAGTGGGGAAAATTCAGTGTTGCATCACCAGTTACATGACAGTAGGAATGAACAATAACTCTATAATAAGAATAAGAATAACAACAACAATAATATTAATAATGATAATAATAATAATACAACAAATATATGTTTGTTTATATATTTTACATCTAATTTTTATTTTTTTTTAAATCTGAAACTATCCATAGAAATGTACTTGTTCAGAAACATACAAAATAAACAGATGCTATTATCTTAACGACTGAGGATGGAAGCAGTATTAGTTTAATATTAGAAAAATAATCTGTTTAATCTACGAAATTCTTCAATCAATAAATAATCCCTGGTTTCAGTTTCGTTGTAAATGAACAAATAAATATACTAAAAGTAAAAGAAAATATTATTTAAAATATAAATACCAATAAACAAACGTTATTATTGAAAACTAGTGTATTTTAAAAACATGAATGGGATGTTGTCGTTAGGCCACGTGACCAGCAGGGGGCAGCTTCTTCCGTGCTCAGACCGAAGAGGAAGTCTGACACTGTTTACGGAAGTGAGAGGCTTTAAGTGCAGAATTGTGACTCAAAACCTAATAGATCCATGCTCAAAACATGAACATATACAGGTGAATGCATTGGCAAAACTTAATAAATTTGAGGCAACATTTTGCATGCATCTTTTTAAGTTTTGCGAACAAGACTGTGTTTTAAGTATTCTTTGTAAGTCTTTTATCATTGGTCCAGCACAATTTTTCCAATTGTGGATCCAATGTGGATAACTTGGATAATTGAGTTATAAAGACACTTTGTTAAGTATATTCAGCAAGTGTTTAAGCATCAGTTCAACTCAATTTTAACAATATCACCAACTTAAATAATTACATTGAAAATAGATCTTTTTGAGTATATTCAACGAGTGATTTTTAGTCAGGAATACGTAATCTTTATTCAAAAACCATCTTTCACAGATCAGATTCACAAAGCGGTTTAAAATTGTTAATTTCATGCAGTAGTCTCTCACTCCACATATATATGGGAGTGGACCAGCACAGTCCCCGGTAAACATTACCACTTTAAATATTTGTTCAATGTAGGAGGACGACACAAGTATACGGCTGCTTTTTTTTGGCCTTCTCGATCATGGTTGAAATTGAAAAAAAAATTCCAATTACTTATTTGGTCAAATTAGTTTATTCAGAATGTTGCTCAAGTATTTTGCTTTAGGACTTGCTTCATATTCAGTTTTAAAATTAATGCTCAAATGTAGAATTTTTAAGAAGTTCATATTTTTCGCTGCAATGCATTCTGGGTAGCGTCACTGCTTCGCCACATTTTGTTTTCAATCAACTCAATATATTTGTTTTGAATCAACACAATATATTTGTTTTGTCATTAATGGACCCCCAGGCTTACAAGAGGATTTTCATGTTGAGCAAACTCAATACTTCTCCGTTGTCCAGTTATGCCAGAATATCAAGTTCAAATTTGTTACAAAAATGAGTTAGGATTCTTGTATTAACTTTTAATTGAGACCGACATGTTTAAACTTAGTTGCGACCACACTAATTTAAGTAAAACTGGCAAAAATCAATTATTGAGTTTAGTTCAGTATGTAATTTGAGTTCAAAATACTAACCACCTGAATCATTTCTTTGAGTGTATACAGGTAAATGTGTCCGTGCGCATGCGCAGGTCCGGTGTTTTTCGTTCTGGGAAGTTATGGACAAAATGAGGAGCTCCGGTCTGAGGTGGTTCTGACGAGTCAACACAAAGACAGCGTGTACTCATTTCAGCGAGGTGTGTATGCGTGTGTGCGTGTGTGCGTGTGTGCGTGCGTGTGTGTGTGTGTGTGTGTGTGTAGAGTTGGAGCAGAGACAGCAGTGTGGATTCTTGCCTCCTGAGTCCGGGTCCCTGCTCCTTACGGTCCGTTTGTAGAAGTCATTTCTAAACACTAAAGATTCTTTATTCCTTAAATAATGAATTATAACTTGTTTGCACCTTAGGTAGAGTTTGTGACTTCCTGTTACTTACAATAAAATATAATCTCATTCAGAGATTCTGCTCCTACACTCAAAAAAATGATATTTGGGTGTAGTAATATATACTAACTCAAAAGTAGTAGTTTCTACCTATAATATCAACTTTCAGCAAAAACTAGTTAAAAACATAAATATTTACACAGTATATTCAGGTAATTAATTAATTGAGTGGAAAGAGTACATCTTACTAGAGATTTGCTCGTACCATTTACATGATTTATTGTCATAGCACCAAAACCTGAAAAAATCAAGTAACTTTTAACTATTGGGTGAAGTAGTGACGCTACCCAGAATGCAATGCAGAGAAAAACATAAACTTCTGAAAAAATCTACATTTGAGCATTAATTTTGAGGGTGAATACAAAGCAAGTCTTAAAACAAAATACGTGAGCAACATTTTGAACAAACAAATTTAACCAAATGAAAAAATTTAAATATATTTTTACCAACCATGATCGACATGGCCAAGTCAAAGTATCGCTTTACTTCCTGGGTTTTTCACTAGATCAAATGTGTATCGTATGTGTGCCACAGAGTCTGTACACTGTACCACTTGTCGTTGAGCTCTATTTGAATAATAAATATTATGACATCCTAATGATACAATTAAAGTGGAACGACCCAAAAAGCATGTAGATAATAATAATAATTTAAACAGAAAAATTAAGTAATATCTACTTATTCACTTCATAACAGAAAATGATATAAACAAGTAAGATTTACCTAATATTTTAATATCTGATATTCCTGTATGAAAATAATTGCATAACATTTACATAATATCCTCACAAAGTAGTGATGGCAATATGAAGCCCCATGAAGCCTTGAGGGATCGCAGCCTATTACTCGGCCCATGAGTCGAAGGCTCGAGGTGAATCATGCTCCACTACGCCATCATGTGGACAAAGAAATACATAACACTCTTAAGTGCTTACAATGAATGGTGAGATCTAATGTTAAAATGTATATTTACAATCTATGGTCTAACGTGTTGTGTTTGAAATGATGCTTCATGAACTATGAACTATTTGAGTCTTTCAGTCAATTGTGTTGATACAACAAACACATCCAAAGTAATACAGTTCTACAGAAAGTGATTAATGGAGGAAAAACTACCAAGAGGTGGATTAATTAAACACAACAAACCATTTATTCCCAATAAATAAATACATTTACTTTGTGTTGCAGGTATCGGCCGGTACAATATCTGCTGACAGTTTATTATTTTTTTATTTGGGGAAGGATTGGGATTGAAACTGAAATTAAAAGAAAAGAGACAGTCACACTCAACTTCGCTCCAGGCTCTCTGCTTGCCGACTCATTTACTTGTTTTTTTCACACAATATAATACAATACTCATTTAAGTATACATATTCAATACAATTCACATGGAATATTCATTTTCACAATATTCACTTATCACATTCAAATCCAGATCTGATAATAAGCACAGGAATATAGTTAATTGTATAACAGATATCCTTTAACACATTAGATTTATTCTAATACACATGCCAACTTGACGGAGCTGCTTCGCTTAGACTTCACTTTTTATAATATTTCTAATCAATAACATAGTGGTTACTTCAAATACTTAACCAGGATAATAAAGAGAACACAAACTGACGGTGAGCCCATCTCTCAATGTAAAATGTAACAGCCCAAAGCTAATGGCTAAAAGCTAACGGCTAACGCACAACCGTTTGCCTAAAACTATACTTTTTCAGTAAAAACGAATACATTAAACACCTTTTGTGTGGCAGTAACGCTCTTGTGTGATAGTACAAACTCGCAAATATAATGCTTGGGTGTTACAGTACCAACCTGAAATTAAAAGAAAAGAGACAGTCACACTCAACTTCGCTCCAGGCTCTCTGCTTGCCGACTGACGCGAAGCAGGAGCGGGCGCCTTAAAACTGTCTCCTTACCAGCACTGCCCTCTAGTGGTAGGCGTCAATACTATCTATTTTAAATTTATTTAATTATACGGAATAATGTGACCACACATAGTGGGCGTCACATTTGCAACACAAAATGTATTATGGGTAGACCAGGATTCGAACGCTATATCTTCTGCTTCGGAGTCCGTCATATACCGACTGCGCCACACAGCTGTTATGAAATGTATTATCCAGCGTATTATTACTAATAACTTGAAGCCTTGATATATGAGGTTTTACTAAAGTGAAAAGTTTTTAATTGTATTTCATATGAAGTAGTTTCTCTATACTTAGTACAGGACTGCTCCACATCACGCACACACACGTACGCACACACACGTACGCACACAGAGGCAGACGGGGACAGCCAATACAGTCTATGGTACACTCTAAAAAAAAATGCATTGGCAAAACTTAATAAAATTGAGGCAGCATTTTGCATGCATCTTTTTAAGTTTTGCGAACAAGACTGTGTTTTAAGTATTCTTTGTAAGTCTTTTATCATTGGTCCAGCACAATTTTTCCAATACCACCAACTTGGATAATTGAGTTATAAAGACACTTTGTTAAGTATATTCAGCAAGTGTTTTAGCATCAGTTCAACTTAATTTTAACAATACTACCAACTTAAATAATTACATTGAAAATAAATCTTTTTGAGTATATTCAACAAGTGATTTTCTGTCAGGAATACGTAATCTTTATTCAAATACCATCTTTCAAAGATTAGATTCACAAAACGGTTCACAATTGTTAATTTCAGGCAGTAGTCTCTCACTCCACATGTATATGAGAGTGGACCAACACAGTCACTGGTAAACATGTCCACCTTAAAGTATCTGTTCAATATTGAAGGGTGACACAGGGAGTATAGGACTGCTTTGGCTTGGCCCTCTCGATCATGGTTGATAAAAATAAATACAATTACTTATTTGGTCAAATTAGTTTATTCAGAATGTTGCTCAAGTATTTTGCTTTAGGACTTGCTTCATATTCAGTTTTAAAATTAATGCTCAAATGTAGAATTTTTAAGAAGTTTATATTTTTCGCTGCAATGCATTCTGGGTAGCGTCACTGCTTCGCCACATTTTGTTTTCAATCAACACAATATATTTATTTTGAATCAACTCAATATATTTATTTTGAATCAACTCAATATATTTGTTTTTTCATTAATGGACCCCCAGGCTTACAAGAGGATTTTCATGTTGAGCAAACTCAATACTTCTCCGTTGTCCAGTTATGCCAGAATATCAAGTTCAAATTTGTTACAAAAATGAGTTAGGATTCTTGTATTAACTTTTAATTGAGACCGACATGTTTAAAATGAGTTGCGACCACACTAATTTAAGTAAAACTGGCAAAAATCAATTATTGAGTTTAGTTTAGTATGTATTTTGAGTTCAAAATACTAACCACCTGAATCATTTCTTTGAGTGTACAGCCGCGGATCACAAAGCACCTGTCAAAGCAATGCACTCTCCGAACTATATGAACCGTGACGTGGTGCGGCCGCTACGCGAGGCTTCGAACGTCACCACACACGTGACCAATACACGCCTCGACCCACACTTCACAAGAAACGCCCCCAGATTACTCGGTCCACGCTTCGAAGACTCGGTCCGCTCAGCACATCACTAACACACACCGTCAGAACCAGAGACTCAGGAGAGAGAGACACACTGCTGTTTCAACTGCAACTCTACATGATACACACAGACACACAACAATAGCTTAAGGAGGCAGTGCTCCGGCTTCCTTTTGAGGATTGACCCCCCTCAGAGGATTGGCGCGGCTCAATCGGTGACGCGCGGTGCACCTGATGGAGAAGCTCTGCAAGACCCAGCCCACACGCGCGTGCATACGTGCACGTTCCAGAGACCCAAGTTTTACACTGTTTTCCCTATCTCTTTTTTCCCCTATTTTATTTTTGTGAAATAATAAATGAACGTAAATGTATTTGTCACAGGTTAAAAGTCTGTTGAGGGGGTGTGATCAATAAAAAGGCAGATGGGGTAAAAAGGGATAAAAATGTAATAAAATATATACAAAAGATCCATTAAAAGACGATAAAAACCCAGAGTCACTCATCCCCGCCGTTCCTCGCACACACACGCACACACACACACACACACACACACGCACACACACCTCGCTGAAATGAGTACACGCTGTCTTTGTGTTGACTCGTCAGAACCACCACAGTCCAGTTCAGACCGGAGCTCCTCATTTTGTCCATAACTTCCCAGAACGAAAAACACCGGACCTGCGCATGCGCACGGACACATTTACCTGTATACACTCAAAGAAATGATTCAGGTGGTTAGTATTTTGAACTCAAATTACATACTGAACTAAACTCAATAATTGATTTTTGCCAGTTTTACTTAAATTAGTGTGGTCGCAACTAAGTTTAAACATGTCGGTCTCAATTAAAAATTAATACAAGAATCCTAACTCATTTTTGTAACAAATTTGAACTTGATATTCTGGCATAACTGGACAACGGAGAAGTATTGAGTTTGCTCAACATGAAAATCCTCTTGTAAGCCTGGGGGTCCATTAATGACAAAACAAATATATTGTGTTGATTCAAACAAATATATTGAGTTGATTGAAAACAAAATGTGGCGAAGCAGTGACGCTACCCAGAATGCATTGCAGCGAAAAATATGAACTTCTTAAAAATTCTACATTTGAGCATTAATTTTAAAACTGAATATGAAGCAAGTCCTAAAGCAAAATACTTGAGCAACATTCTGAATAAACTAATTTGACCAAATAAGTAATTGGAATTTTTTTTTCAATTTCAACCATGATCGAGAGGGCCAAACAAAAGCAGCCGTATACTTGTGTCGTCCTCCTACATTGAACAAATATTTAAAGTGGTAATGGTGAAGAGAATCCGTGTACCCTTCGATCATTAGTTATTCCGTTTCAAAACAAAATCAGAAAAACAAATTTTCCATTCGTTTATTGGTATTTTCCTTTTCCTAAATCAAATTGGAAAATCAAATCGTTTATGCTTCAATATCAATGTGTTTGTTTTGGCTCTAGTTGTTTAAATTCTCAAAAGAATTATGGCATTACTATTATTTCGTTTTATTATTATTTGCGACACCGGAAGAGAGAAGAGACCTCAGATCAGAGCCGCCGTTCAGCAAGTTTTAGGAGATTTTGATGGCTTCCCTCCAGCCTTATACACATTTAATTAGGAGACTTTTTAAAAATGGGGCAACACATGCAGAGATCAGTGATGCTTTATATTGCCACGGAGCGAATGGTTGCTCAGAAATATCGGTGAGGAGATTCTGCTTGGAAAACGACCTTAGACGTCGAAATCATGTTTCCGACGCAGATCTGGAAACTGCAGTGATCTCTTCAATTCATCAGGTATGTGCAGTATGAACCTACATTATTACGGCCCCGTTCCTTTCAGTAAAACGACTGTAGTAAATGCACACTGCGTAAATGCGCTACTTTTGTAATATGTAAACAAAGTCCTGCCATTTGGTCTGTGATACACAGCTTTCATTTGCGCTTTCCCATACGTACATGGCCTTCTGTGCAGACTGTGACAAGGGCTTTAATATTTGAATTAAAGTCTAGAAACATATGCATATTACAGACAGGCCCGTCATATGGACGAAAGTTTATGACTGGATATTTGACGTCCATTGGAGTACGTGCTGGTGAACGCCGAGTGGGGAGAGTATTGAGAGAGGTGCACCAGCCTTACCACAATTTGCGACAACGTGTAAGTGCCAGATGCAAATGTGTAAGCTTGTCACAAGTGTAAATATTGTGACACAATGTGTTGAGAATGGTGGTATGTATATTTGTTAATATGTATGGTTAATATCTACTTTAAAGGGTGCTCGGAACTTGAATCCCATCCCCTACCATGCAGAATACATGGGACACAAGATTCACCTGGACCAGAATGAAAAGTTGGTGATGTTTGGTGTCACCCATGTTGTGGCAGTGGATGGCTACAGCTCAAAAATTGTTGCATATGCCACAATGCCTGTTAAAAATAACCTCACTATTTATGAAGAAGTGTACAGGTTGGTAAAACTATGCTTAGCATTTAGACTCTGAAACCCCTTATGTCCCACTCTTCTTTTCACTGTGACTCATCTATCTTTGTACTCACTCACCTTTCTCTCACCTGTACCTGCATCCCAAAGAGTGAGCTGTTTGTGGCACACTCCTTTGAATTTTTTTTGGACCTCACTCTCTTACACACATTTTCTCTATTCTCTACTGTTTGGTAAGCTAGTAATGTTTTTATTTTTTTTTTTTTTTGATAGACCTGCAGTGGCGACACATGGTATGTGGGATCAAGTGCGTGTGGACCATGGGAAGGAGTTTTACCTATGCCTGTATATGCAGGAAATCCTTTCCAAATACCGCTTCAATGTTAGTCGGCAGCCCTATGCCCAGACTACGTCAACCAAGGTGCTTACTATACTCTTGTCATTCATTGATTGGCTGTATTATGACAGACACAGTACTAGGGCGGAGTAATTCATTGCAAATTTGTTATCTAAGTTAGGTGCTCTAACATTACATGTAATTATGAAATTATAAGTAGTGACTTCTTAATTTTAATGTAAATAATAATGTTTAATCTAACTTATTAGCAGCAAAAAAGTTTCAAAAAGTGCTAATCTAGATTTAATGATATAAATATTATTTATAAGCAAGTCCATGACCACTTTTTAAAACCTTTTCTTATTCAGCTTGCATGTAAAGGAACATACACACTCACTATTTTTCTTTTGTTCCTTGTAGAATCTTAGGGTAGAGCGAATTTGGCCGGAGGTGAACAACCGTGTGAATTATCCATTGAAAGCGGCTTTAGTACACCTCGTGGACCAGGAAACCCTGGACATGCAGGATGACCGCATAAAATTTTGTGTGTCAAACTTAACCTGTCTTCTCAGCCAGATTGGCTTACAGCGAGTTGTAAATGCATGGAATGCACACAGGATTCCAGGTAAGCAACCATGATAACTTATGGTTCCCTAAAGTCAAATTTGACTTGCACACATAGTACACTATTATAGTACAATTATGGAGCTTGAAAAACTAGTGAAATGTTACAGGTCCCTTTACTAAACACTTGCATAAATAAATCTAAATTTTACTTATTGAAAACGAATCTATAAAATATGACTTAATGTAGGACTTCTTTAAACAACATAAGCAAAGAATAATGAACAAAATGAACAAATAAGACTTAATACAAAAACATACATTTAAATGATTATAAATGACAGAACAAACACACAACCCAACTCTCTGCACACACGCATGTGTTCAGGTAGGAGGGTTTGATGGAGAAGTGGGTGGTCAAGGGCTGTAGATTAAAACTACTACATTTGAACTCCCCATGCAGGTTCCTGTTAAAATTTTTATGTCTGTGTTCTTCTTGTTTGAAGATCACCGTTAGTGCAATATAATTCTGTGGCCCTATGCATAAACCTGATATACACATGAATGTTAATCAAAACTGAGGTTAAAAGTAACACTATGTTCATTAATGAAATGTATTCAAGTATTTGTGGTCTATCAGGTTCATGCATGGGGCCACAGAATTGCCTTTTCGATCATGGCAATTAATCGTATAAATGTTTTATTTCTAGGACGAGGAGTACCTAATGATTTGGCGTCTGGAGGAAGTTCTGCCAAAATTGCACAAGACCTTTTGCCCAGTGCCTCTGTTGCTGCTGCTCACTATGAACAGGATTTGGGCTCTTCCTTAACAACTGAATCAGTCTTTGGTGTAGACCCATTTCAAAATGAAATGGACAGGATTCATGCTGAAGAGGACTTTAGGGTCGCTTACCCAGATTTGTCTGTTATTGTTGACAATGTTGCTAATTTCGAATATACAGATTTTAATGAAGCACTTTTTTGCTTGCTCCGTGCAACTGAAAGGCATGCTTAAGTAGGCGGGTAGTATTTTATAAGTATGTGTACAGTACACAATAAAAAATGTACTTCAGTAAATGTCAATGTTGTAAAAGCTGCATGTTCACATAAAATAGATTTAGTTTGTTAAATGTACCTTATTCTTCAGAATTAAAAAATTTATGGAACCGTCTTTGAGTATGAAAGTAAATTTGAAACGCTTGTTGTAGAAATTCTGCACATAACAAGAGTAAAATAACATAAACAACCCAGAGCTGTAATTCCAAACAAAGTGTGAGTTTATTCATTAGTAAATGTGCACAATTACAATGAACAACAGAACCGATACCAATACCACCGGGCAGCCGTCCGAAATCGACTGCCCCGATTGAGGAAATGACTGTACATTAAATAGACCAGAGTAAACAAACACATATCTACTCTAGATATTACATAAATGAAGTCAACATTGATATGTGTTGCTCAAGGCTTCTCTTTACGCCTCCTAACGCTGATACAACTCTGATATATGTAACAATCTGCTTTTGACCTGAACATATTGTTCTATGACCAAGGTCAAAGACATGATGCAGCACGTCTCCATCTATCACTGACCTGAGCCAACAGAGCACTATGGCCTGTATCTGAATCCAGAGTTGACTATTAGTTAATAACTTACACTCATAACAATTTGGTGTTAATTCAGATTGCTTTACTAAAATATTTCTATAACAATCCTATCTCTTGATAAATATAAAACCTTGGTTTATCTTAATCAACTTAAAATAGTAATAGAAATCACAATGATTATGAATTAACACAAAATCTGAACATTTGAGCAAACACACACAATAGTTAACTAACTTTATTACAATATTAAAACCCACACTTATATACTTACTTAGATGAATCACCTGACTGGGTCACAGACGTCTGCCCAGGGGAGACGAGGCGTTACTGGACCCGATGGGTCATCAGCCGACCCTCACCTCTCCCAGAATCGACGCTGTGCCCGCACAGTAGACACTCCAGCAGTGCTGGGTGCACTCTCTCTCTCCCTGAGAGTAGAACCTGAGTATGTGGATTTAAAATAGACCTGGTCCAAAGATGGTTCCAAGTCCAAGCCAGTCCAAGTCCATTAGACCCAATCTATTGGGTCTAATGCTTTGTCATTAGATCTGATAACACTTAACCTTAAACATGGATGCCTCACACTTTTCTGACCTCCTGTGCTTTCCACATGGGGTCAGAGTGGGTGGGAGCATCAGAGTTAGTGCCCTGATTGTCAATGCTTGAAAACCCTAGCATGTATGTGTACCACAAACCAATGCTAAGTTATGCTAATCCTGAAACGTACACAAAACAGTTTCAAAAGCCCGTTTTGACGCAATGCTGAGATAGCCTCTCTCAGTCCACCCCCATCCTTGGGGTGGGCGTCCCGGCCTCCAGGTCAGACCAGCCGATCGTCCCAGTCTCTGACTCCGCTGCGTGAAAAAGCGGGGAACAATGTACCTGACCCATGGCTCAGAGCTTCTGTCTGTGTAACACCTGGTCAGAAGGCAGACCAAGTTTTGTCGTGGGGACCCTCAAGGTGGTCCCTTCCTTCGGCCGTTGGGGAGCAAGCCTTCCTGCTTCGGCTCCACTTCTGCGTTGGAAGTCGGGCACTGCCGCCCCCACTTCTTTGCTGCATCCTTGCGTTGGAGAAGGTCCTCAGATCCTTCTCGTTGGTCCCCTTTGGCTCTGGGCAGCTGGGGTCCACCTGCGGTGGGCTGGACCCATGATGGGGCGTCGACCCTCGCGGTGGGGTGCCCCCGGCACTTTTGGTTAGAGCTCCTCCTGGCATTCGCCGGACTCAGACCCTTCTCTGGCTCGACCCCCGTGGCCAAGGCGTGATGGCGCTCTGTGTCTCCCTCTCGGAGATGTGATCCCTCCTCATGGAGGGGTTGGTCACGTTTCTGAAACAATGTTTTGGCAAAAGGGTTATTTGCCCCCCCCCCTGCCTGTCCTCTGGGTCTGCGCTGCCAGGGCTTAGCCTCAGTCTATATTATAATAATAATAATGGTCTCCATATAACTTTACTCATGCGTTATCAGTTTGAGTTTTCAAAACACTCCTCTCTCCAGCCTTGGAGAGCAGATAAGTGCATTCTGCTGCTGTCTGCTCTCCTACATGTGCAAGTCTCTCACACAAGTCAGGCCTCACTAACTAATTATTCTATGTTGGTAAAACAACAACCTATATCCTAAAGATCAAATAAACTTAAGTGTTTTGATGATTGTTTATCAAGATGAAAACTCATGGAGACCTGCAGGTGTTCAAAACCAGGCCTGTGGGCCAATTGTGGTCCGCCAGACATTTTAGTGTCTTCTGAAATGATTCTCAATTATAATTAAGTATAAACTGGCAGTCTTAATTGCAAGGTTAATTTGAACCCCAAGGCATTATTCCTAATTTTTTAAAACAAACTCCCTCTGGAAAATTACCATATACCTTCTAATGTGTTGGAAAAACCACCTGAATTGTTAACTTAACAAACTTTGTTAAATCTATTAAACTATTCTAAATACCTTCATAATGTTAAAGAAAATTGTGTATCCACAAAATGGGAAGATTCAACACTTTATTACTTTTGGCCTTGGTGTTTGTTTTGTCTGTCAGACCTCTGCTCTTATCACCCTCAAGAGTCACAGCCTTACAGAGCTTTGACAAACTGAATAATATCCTAATACTCAAAGCTATACTATACACTTGAATTTAAACAAAAAATATTAACAAGTTAAAGTTTAAAATAAATAAAACTACACTAACCACCTGGTGTATGTGGGGTCTCTACCATTTAACAACTAAAAACTATTAAAAACTTATCCAAACATATGGTAAATACTGTTTTATGTGAAACCCATATATGACACACACAACACAATCCTCATTTATCGACCATGTCCCCCTTACTTTTACTGTAAACATGTGTCTGTAAATACATATATGTGTGTGCTACTGTATGTGTATGTCAAATACACAAAATGAATGTAATGAGTGGTATGTGTTCATATGTTCTTTGGGTAGGAAACAGACTTATAATATACTTGGTTTTATTACGTGTACTGTAGTATCATCACAGTGTTAAAGACTTACCATTTCCATATTCTTGACCTAGAGAGTGTTCTAGATTTATTTCCAGATGTGTAAATACAAGTATACATTCATTTACACTAGAGTACACAATACTTTACCTTGTACCTTTACCGAGCCAAATTATTTTACATTTAAAAGTATAGAGTTGTGCTACACTTACTATTCACCTGTCTTGTGTTGTAATGTCCCACTGTGGGACGTCTGAAAATCTCTTAATCTTATCATTACTGACTGTTGCTAAAATGAAAACTGACTAAAACAAGTGCAGTCTAAAGTCACACAATGCTGCATTTACAAAAATACAGGAAAAAAAACAAAACCAAAAACTGGGGTCCCCCTTTGGCCTTCGTGCACCTATTGAAGGAAAAATATAAAACCTTAGTATTACAAAAATATGCATTTGCCAAGTCTATCACTACAAAAAAAAGTACTTGGCTTTAAACATTTTTGGAGTCCTCATGAGGAAAATAGATAAACGATTTGGACCTATTTTGCTCCTGGTCTATTTTGTTTATTGCCATAATGGCTTTGTTTACACCTCTGAAATGTACGATTACTCCAGCCTCTGCCAGAGTTATTTAACATGCCTCATTTTCAGAGCAGTCGCTCTGACGTCTGATACTGTCTCTCTGTGACGTAGAAGTCGAACTCTCCACGTCTCTATGTTTTGGCTGGAAATGTCTTTTCAGCTGTTTTATGACAATCACACACTTTCACACTTCTGTTCCCAAGATCTACAAGCCCCTCCCTCTCTGAGGCCTTAGGCTCTAACAGAAACAATGTGTAATGTTGTGTGTGTGCTGTGGGTCATTATTGTCCTTATCTCTCTCATACTATTCTCTCTCTCTCTCCCTCAGATACATTCACACCAAACTCTGTTTTCTACATCACAATCGAGCAATGCATATTTCCAAAGTTATGAAGCCTCCGGTCGTCTGACTAAAACATTACATTTACTAAATTGATTGTGGGATTTGGTGACAATTTACATTCAAATACATTATAGACAGACTTCTGTCAGAATACTATTATACTCCAAGGGATTTTTACCATCTTATTTCTTATTTTTACACACCACAGATTTAGTCTTGACTGTGGAAAACAACTGGGCAATTTGAAAAATACAGAAACTGTTTAACTCACAACCTTCGGATTATTCAGAACATTTCAATGGATTTATGAAAAATTCCTTTGTCATGTTTCGCCTCTAAAGAAAATAATGTGTCCTTCACCCATTCGGGGACGTTATGTAATAAATAAAGTCCTTAATCAAGGAGTATGTGGCCCACGGAATTGATTAAAGTAACCTATCCCCCACTCTATTTTTCTCTTCTTTTTTTTTTCCCTCTGACAATAGGGTTTGTCAAGCTACTCTAAACTTTAGAATAGTCTAAATTTGTGCATACGTCAATGATCACATCCATCCCCAAATGAGTGCTTGTGTTTGTGTTGTCCTGCCTTCTGGACATGTGTAGATGTGTGTTTGAGTCATGTTTTGTTTACGATACCCGGACCATGGTCTGCCTCGTCCAGATCGTCCGTGGGACCCTCCCAGACCCTCGTCCTCCAGTCAGTCAGTCCCATATCGTTCATGCTGGTTCTTTGACTGCTGC